AGTATCAATTATTATTTATTCTACCCAAATATAAAATGAATTGTTTGTCTTTTAGTTTTAAATTCTCCCGGGATGTGATTATTTATAGTCCAGCAAATATATTAATGAAAATCGAGATGCAATTCAAAACATGAACAATTTATTTTTTAGTGAAATTAAATCTATCAGACTCAACTTACATTGTTTTTATTAATTCAACTACCGAGTAAAGCGAACTGTTTGTGTAAAGTGAACTGTTTGTGTAAAGTGAACTGTGTAAAGCGAACTATTTGTGTAAAGCGAACTGTTTGTGTAAAGCGAACTGTTTGTGTAAAGCGAACTGTTTGTGTAAAGTGAACTGTGTAAAGCGAACTGTGTAAAGTGAACTGTGTAAAGTGAACTGTTTGTGTAAAGCGAACTGTTTGTGTAAAATAAACTGTTTGTGTAAAGCGAACTGTTTGTGTAAAGTGAACTGTTTGTGTAAAGCGAACTGTGTAAAGTGAACTGTGTAAAGTGAACTGTTTGTGTAAAATAAACTGTTTGTGTAAAGCGAACTGTTTGTGTAAAGTGAACTGTTTGTGTAAAGTGAACTGTTTGTGTAAAGTGAACTGTTTGTGTAAAGCAAACTGTTTGTGTAAAGCGAACTGTTTGTGTAAAGCGAACTGTTTGTGTAAAGCGAACTGTTTGTGTAAAGCTTACTGTTTGTGTAAAGCTTACTGTTTGTGTAAAGCGAACTGTTTGTGTAAAGTGAACTGTTTGTGTAAAGTGAACTGTGTAAAGTGAACTGTTTGTGTAAAATAAACTGTTTGTGTAAAGCGAACTGTTTGTGTAAAGTGAACTGTGTAAAGTGAACTGTTTGTGTAAAATAAACTGTTTGTGTAAAGTGAACTGTTTGTGTAAAGTGAACTGTTTGTGTAAAGTGAACTGTTTGTGTAAAGTGAACTGTTTGTGTAAAGTGAACTGTTTGTGTAAAGCGAACTGTTTGTGTAAAGCGAACTGTTTGTGTAAAGCGAACTGTTTGTGTAAAGCGAACTGTTTGTGTAAAATAAACTGTTTGTGTAAAATGAACTGTTTGTGTAAAGTGAACTGTTTGTGTAAAGCGAACTGTTTGTGTAAAGCGAACTGTTTGTGTAAAGCGAACTGTTTGTGTAAAGCGAACTGTTTGTGTAAAGCGAACTGTTTGTGTAAAGCGAACTGTTTGTGTAAAGTGAACTGTTTG